GTAAAGAGGTTTCGTTATCCTTTTCTTTTCTGCATACAATTCATGCACATATATAGGGACACGGGATGATCGATCGGCCATAATAATATATATGGAGAGAAAAGTTTTAGAACAGTGAATGTTAATTAAAATATCCCATCATTTCATAGGCGAATGTTCACAATGTAGAATGGTAACATATATATGCGAGTTCTGTGTAGAGCATTAATCGAGAAGTTATGATAACCTGTGTGATTTTTGCAGCATGAAATACGTACAAGTGAGTAGTATTATCCCTAGCTTCTTTACTTGAGAAAAAGATGTCTTTCAAAAAGAGAGAGAGAGAGAGAGAGAGAGAGAAGAAGAAGAAGAAGAAAGAAATACCTGTGTGCAGTGGAAACCCTTAATCCAAGAATACAAGCCAGTTTCACATAGGCAGGAAACCGGCCGGAGGGATTCTTTCCTTTAGTAACAGATTTTAAGCAACCCCTAATAACACCAACAATCCGTCTTTCAAATCCATATTCAGCTACCTGTTGTGTTGTCACAGCATGAAAAAATTGACAATAGCCAAGTTAATTACACAAAATCCAGATATATATATATATATATATATCACGCCATGCATGAAGAAGCCATGCACCACTATATTATCGATCATCATCTATGTCCACTTGTTAATCATTTCATTAATGGTCAGCGTGGAATATTAATAAAGTTTGAAATCAAAAGGATGCAGCAATTCCGTCAATGAGTAAAAGCATGCATGCGTAATTACTAATAACAAGTACTCCACTATATAATGAGTAAAATCCAGATATATCTGGTGGACTCACTCAAGAGAGTTAGGAAATTGATGAGTTGAGCGTTACCAGCATGATGTGGGAGGTGAAGTTGCGGATGCGAGCAGTAGGATCGCCCATGAGGTCTGTGACAACCGACGGCTTCCCGGGTTTTCCGACCTCGTACTGCCTCTCCAACTCCTCCACCGCCGCCTTATCTCTTTCTCCATCGTAGACTCTCACCACCACCAGTACTGGCTTTTCTCCTGGTGTTGGATTTGGAAAACTCTCAGCTGCTATTTTAGTTGACATTTGTATAATTAGGAGCTGAAAGGGTAGAAGTAAATCAATGCAAACAAGCTTATGGATTGTGGCTTATTTATATATAACCATCTGGATACATAGCAAGAAGGCAGCTTTGGAAGTTCGACCGTAGGTCTTTATTTAGTCCTAAACATGACATGGGAATGTGGAGTGTCTATCCACAAGTCTATATATTTTCGCATGTGCTTTTTGGGGAATGGTGAGTGTTTTTATCTAGGCAGTGTGTATCCAATAATTGGTCCAATTTTGATCTCGGCACTGGGGTCTAACTATATATATATATATATATGTGGAAGTGTGTGGCCATTTATTTGTAAACATATTCTTCTCCCTACTTGATTAACTTTTGGCTTTTGTAAATGTGAAGTTGTTAAAGTTCTTCCTTTTCACTACACGGATTGTGCAGCTTGACATATTTCATTTTATGTTGGGCGCACTACTCATCCACCAACTAGTATTTGAATCACTGGCTCTTGGCAAATGTGCTTTAATTTTATCATTCACATCACTAAGATTTGGTTAGAAATGTTTTTTTTTTTTTTTGGGCAAATTCCACTTTATCCCTCGTGATTTAGTATTTTTTTACATAATCCCCCTATGGTTTCAAAAACTATACATAACCTCCTCATGGCTTGAATTAAAGTATCAAAGTGACGGAAATGATTACTCGTAACGGAGTCAGTTAAAATTTCAAAAATGCCCTTTTATAAAGTTAAAAATTATTTATTAACCAAGGGGGTTATATGTATGCTTTAAAAATCATAAGGAGGTTATATGGTAAAACATAAAAATCATACAGGATTAGTGTGTCATGTATTTATAAGGATAATTTCGATATTTTTAAAAGTTCCGTCACGAATGACTATTTCCGTCACTTTGACACTTTAATCCAAATCATGATAAGGTTATGTATAGTTTTTGAAATCATAAGGGAATTATGTAAAAAAAAAAAAATACTAAACCACTGGAAGGTAGAATGTAATTTGCCTTTTTTTCATGAATTATCTAGTTATGTATACATATACCCGGCCCCTATGGGCTATGGTACCTTATAAGCTGAAGTCCTCGTTGTCGCCTTGAGCATTATCAGATTGATCATGGCAAATTAAAAAATGCAGCTTAATTATTACAGCATTTCTGGATCTTTTACAATAATCCCTTTTAATGCACTTCTTAGTTTTCTCATTTCTCTGGAGCAGCGGATTGAGAGAAATCAGATACTCGTGTATAATTTTAAGAAACATTATTGAGAATGAGTATGCTTTTTCTTTACCCTCCCTCAGAAAAAATCACAAATTTCTATTTCCCTTTTCTGCTGCTGCCTGTGATATTTCATAATTAAGCCTTTTTATACAAAATTAAATTTATATATATATACAAATAAAATAAAATAAAAAAAGAAACCCCAAGAACTTGTTTTTATCATTGCATCACTTTGGTAGGGTCAATTATTGGGTTCGAGTTGAGTCTGTAGAATAATGGCCAAGAAAGGGTTTATTGGTGGACATGTGGATGGCTCTTGGGAGCATCCCCTGATGATCGCATTATCTTATTATTTAAAAAACATGAGAAACGCTTAAAATTCTTCCAATCATCAAGCGAAACGCGTACCTTAAAAAGAATGGTGAGGCGCACAAAGGGGACAGATGTTGGATGGCTGAGATTATATAGAGAATTCTTGCGCTGTCAGTTGCAAAGTAGTAAGAATTCCTCTGTCGAATAAAATTGTTTTGGTCCTCGAACGGCTTTATCTTCCTAAGCCAAAGCCAGGGGCGACGCAAGCACAACGAATTCTCCACTCACAACAAAGACTGAAGCCACCAATTTTAGGAAGTTTCCTGTGGATAACGTACTACTATTAACTGTTCATACGTACGATTCTCTTTGTTCTTTCCCTTTCCTGTTTGTGTAATCAACATACTAATACTGCATGCATATTTTTTGATGCAAGAATGCATGCAGGAAACAATCAATTTATGGTTCTCAAGTCAATCAATCTTTCTTGATACAAGCATTTGTAGGTTGGTGGATAAAACATTTGTAGGTTGCTTCATGGAAATACACCTTTCTATTTCATGACATGAAGAATGTATTGGCAATAACTTTTCCAGCATCATTTGTATGTCTATATTTACGAATGCTTTATGGGAGATATGGAAATTGATTGACCACAATAAATTGACAGAATATTTCAACTTGTAAATTCCCCACTCATAAATCATAAAGTTAAATCTTGAAAAAGTATGATAGGGAAGTATGAAGGGATACGTTTCGCAGCCAGATGAAAAGGGAGGAAGAGGATCTACAGCACAAATTTCTACCATCTAACAATCTACTCTCTACAGTATATTCTTTCTTTGTTCAACGTCATTTTCTACAGTACCTAGTGAGCTAGGAGCCCTTTTAAAGGTTCCCTCTGATTAATTTTGTTCTCTCATCATGAACTGCTGCAAATAATGCCGCCCAGAATTCTCTCGTGGAATCGTGGCAAACAAGGTTGACAAAGTGGAAGAAGATGATGAAACTTAAGCTTGATATGAATGATCTCTAAAGAGGCGATCGAGATTTTATTCGGCCATACACAGTTGAGTTTAAATTGTTCCATCCAACAAACTGGTTGGTTTATGTCATTTTCTGTATTATCATAGGTGTTTTCCATGATCATATTATGGCAAGCAGACGTGACACAGTAGCATTTTAGTTGATGTAAGAAACAATGCAGGAAGATGATATAGTTCTTGAAGATACTACTGAATGAAGCTGGAAAATGCGTTCACTTCCACTCACAAAAATATCACCACATTGTTGGTAATTAAGAAAAAGAAAAAGGAATCAATGAAGAGTTCAAACAGCAAAACAAAGTCCTTCTTCTCTGATAATAGTTGTATTGTAATAGAAATGCACATCCCAAAAAAAGCGAAAAGGGTCCGACATCCTACCAGTTTTCATATGCAAACATTTTCATTCCATGGTCATAAAATAAAATGAAACAATCCCTCACATTTGCATATTATTCTTTCTTTATCCTTTCTCCATTAAGAGATCAATATGGGTTCATTTAGATCATATTTTCATGAAAATTTTTATAATATTTTTCATGATGATATGATGTGTGTAAAAATAAAAGATGATTGAGAAGTATATAAGAAATATCTCAATTTTTTCCCAATAATGTCCAAAAATTGCTTATCCATACAAACTAATTATGACTAAGATCATGAGGCAAAAAAGTGGCCACAAATGAGATTAATGACTAAAGATCTTACTTCACTTTAATGGCTAGATTGGGAGTTTAGGGTAGAAAAGTAAAGAAAAGAAACCTTAAGTTATAAAAGAAAAGAAAATAAGAGATTTTGCTGTTGTTTGGGAATTTAAAGAAAAAGGTGGAAAGATTTTGAATATATATGTCATTAAAAATTTATTCAATAACCATTTAAGAACACAATTGGCATTTTGAAGAAAAAAAAATTATAGGCACTCTTCCACTTTTCATCCAAATCAGCCCAAAATGGGCATAAAACTTTTCTCTACTGTAGTGTTAAAACAGATCTAGTTAAATCAGTTCATTTCCTTTAACAGATCTAGCTTTCTTTTCTGACATCAAGAATCTCCTCAAAGATGGAAAATTGATTTCCCGTATCACTTTCTTTTCTTTTCTAGCCAAATTTCTCTCCTCTCAAACGCACTGTAAATGTTTTAGGAACCAAGAAATGTAGAAGACTAGAGAAGGATAGTTTTGCAAATATGAGGGACCATTTATGCAATTTATTCTCAAACGGAAATATGATTTAATGGGCCAGGAAAGCTTTTCTATTATAACTAAATCTGATTGAATGGGCCAACAAGTCAAATCGTTCGAGACACAACATCTAGCCCACCGGTAGGAAGCATCCAAAACTCCCAGCCCATGGCAACCCCAGGACAACAACGTCTCAAAATCAGTTTCTTCGCCCAGATTGATGAAACAGTCGAACGAATTGAGCTCAGAAATTAAGGAAGGAATCCTGGTGGATAGTAACAGTACTTCGATAAAGGAAAAATTATGGGTTTGCTGGCTTGCTTAGGGGTGATATCACCATTCCCATTTTACTATTGGCTGTGGACTCAGCCTCAGACATGGGTAAATCTATGCGGGAAAGGGAGTGACCCCTGCAAAGTTATGGCAATGGTGTCTCATTTTCTGAAGTTGGTTCAGTTTGCATCTCTGCTTTCCGTTTCAACGCTTTCTTGGCCGCCTCCTTTCTACTTCTGGCCCCTCTTCATATTCGGCCAGTTCCTAAATTTCAGGTTCTTCGGCTTTGTCCATTTGCCTCATATTATGTAGCTTTGTAAATGTGCAGTCATTTAAGTCTTTGATATTGGAAATGCTGTTGAAGTTTGAGATTTTGAGGAATTGATTGAGATCCCAGATGGAAACTTTTAATCTAATATGGATTTTCATATGCGTTTTTTGATCTAGAAATGCTGTGAATGTTTGAATGATGGAGAATCATTTGATGCCCAGATTGAAGATTTTTCTTTATCTTTTCTGAGAAATGTTCATTCTTTATTTTCTTTGAAAATAATTGTTCTTTCTACGTCAATAGGAGGAAGGTAGAAGAAGAGTTTTTGGATTTTGTAAAGGGGTTGGTGGTGTTTGGCCTATTGCTGCGATGATCTGTTTTAACACTTTGATGTTCGTTTGATGGCTTGAAGTCATATAGAAGTTTAGCGTGGCTTTAGTTTTTGGAGAAAATAGAAGTTAGTTATAGCCTTACCGTGCTTCAGGTGTCCCCAATTTTACCTGTATGCATGCTTAGAAATAGTATGAGTACAAATGTGTCTCTACATAAACTGTGATTTTGTGTCATTAATAGATAACCAAATTATCATGTCTCAAGTTTTACATTTGGAATCAGCCTTCTAGTAAAATTTGATGAACGAGTACATGCCAAGGTTTGGCGCTGAAAAGGCGAGGTATTAGAAGTTTAATTTTATTCCTGAGAAGAAAAGAGAAGAAAGATAAGTGCTGGCTTTTAACTAGAATTTGTTCCTTATGCCATCAAGCAAGATGTTTTCTTGCTTCTCTAGATGGAATAGTATAGCTACAAGCTGGAGGAATAGGTTCATAGATTAGTCCCCTTTTACATACTTCACCTACATGTTCTAGGAAAAACCCTTGAACTTTCAACAAATTAATCAAGTCACACTAGGGGAATGATCTTTCTATACTGCATATGTAGAATAGAGATTGTGATCAACTTAAGTTACGCTCTGTTCATCTGTCATTTGATTAAATACCTGAATTGCAGGATTTGATAGCTATAGGGATTTTGGTGCTGGATTTAGCCTAAGGAGGAATGCTATTTTGAATAGAGGAAGAGATGCTACTAAACAATGACTTCAACAACTTTTCCGGATATCTGAGATAGAGGCAGAAAATGTAAATGAACAGGAAAACACAGACGTAAAAGAGACAACTAAGGTAGAAGAGTAATACTGCAGTTTATCAGATGCTGTCACTTCTCTTGTGGTGTCATAAATTAGTATTCAGAGCAATGGACTTAAAAGAATATGGCCTCTTGGCTGTTGGAATCCAAAAACTTGTTCTCAGTGAGAATTGGGAAGTTGGAAAATCAAAGACCTATTTAAACAAAGTTGATTCTATATGTGGATTCAGAACACATTCTACAAGTTAAGCTTCAGAAATTTGTTCTATAGGATAACTTTCCTGTGTGTGAACTGTGAAGGACAGGAACTTGGAGGTTGATTAAGATCATCAATGGAGCCAAGTATTGTTAGTATTTGATCCAAAATGCATGGATGATATCTATTTCATTTGCTGTTAATTAATTTGGCGTTGTATGTTTGATTACTAATATTTTTGCCACAATCTGTTAAAACACACAATTGAATGCAGGGTATATCAACTGCTGGGAGAATCAGGAACTTACTATGGGGTTCGATTTGGAAAGACCATCCCATGGGTGACAGACTTTCCTTTTGGAGTTATCAAAGATCCACAGTATGTTGGTAGTGTTATGAGTCTTCTTGCTTGTCTGCCTTGGGTTCCATACCTATATATCCTTTTATGGGTCCTGGGTTATGCGTTCATGATACATCTGGAATCTAAGGAAGACCCAAGTACTCGTGTAGAGGCTATTTCTTAATCGCTAATCTGCTGATTGAAGAAATAAGTGCTGAAGAAATTTTGACCCGTATTGCACAATACTTGTATGGTCCCTAGGGACCCCTAACCATGAGTTTTGTTTTTCATTTACTTCTTGATAGGGCCGAATGCGAACATAGTAAGTTTCTGGTTGAACATTAGAATGCCTTTTTAAGTCATCATTTCCCTTTTTCTTTTTCTTTTTCTTTTTTTTTTTGTATTGGGGTGCCAATACTATTGCATTTTAGTGGTTCCAATTTGATGCATGTCGTAGACTGAATAATGAACTGCTACTAGTTTTTACAGCTTGAGTTTCTGACCAGCTAATAGATAAAAAAATTATCTATTCAAGCCTTTAAATCTTCTTCTTCTTCCTTCTGAAGGCTTGAACAAGGATGTGTTTAACAGTGATATGCTTGTTTTTCAGGCCATTTCCAAATTCTCTATCCAGGTTTTTGCAGTTCACAAGTTCATCAGCCTGCTGTACAATAATAATAAGAAAACAGAATATGAAAAAAGAAACCTTGCAGCATAAGAAATGCCGTACATAAATACTTCTCTTTCCTTATACCTGCTGTGAAAGTAATCAACCCTCGCAACGCAACGCCCTTCTCGTTGATCACACTAGTATTTTCTTAGCGTCACCTTCGTCATGTTTGGACTGCATCCAGGACCATGAGTGTGAACTCCCTTATAGAACTTTTGATTTTGATGCTTACAAGCTTGATCGTTCGGGGAAAAAACTGCATTTGGTGAAAGATTTGGGTGATCAGACTTTGTTTCTGGAAATTAATCAACAATCTGCCGTCTCTGCTAAGCAAGTCCCAGGAATTGAAGGAAATTCTATCCACTTCGGTGATCATTACATGTTAAATCACGCACATTTCCGTGGTAACAAGAATTGTGCTTTTGGAGGCCATGATTTCGGGATATTCAACATGGAAGAGGAGCTTTAGTGCTTGTTATCCGACTGAAACCATGAAGTTTAAGCACCCACCGGCTTGGATTGCTCCCACATCTCATCTAGCTAGAGATCAGACATAACAGAGATGAACTACTTCACTGCGTGCTATATATAGTGTTCGACTTGAAACCTAGCTAGACACTAATCATTTTGTCTGGTAGTTGAATTATAGTCAGTTCATAAGAAAGCTGCGAAACTAACCATAACAGCACCAACTCAGCCAACCCCCAACTTCGTGTCCATGTTTTCTCAGGATTCAGAGGCTTCCTGGCAAATGCTTTTATTTGCCACTGTACCATGGGAGATTGATCAATCCAAGACTAATGGAAACAGTTTTTATTACCCCAGAAAAACAAAAAAAATTTTACGCCACAATACAAGTGCAAAAAACTGCGTGTAGCACACATATCAGGGTAACTTGAAACTGTATCTAAAGATAAAAATTAAAAATATAAAATTAAAAAATCCACAGTAAGGCCTCTACATCTGAATGTCAACAGCAAGGTTTTGCTTGACACACAAAACAAAGCAAAAAAACATAAGATTCTCCTTTCCCTGATCCAGAACTAAAACGCAGGCAAAAGAAAGCAAAAAAACTCGAGATTCTCCTTTCACTAATAAGATCTTGAATAAGATCTGGAGGACGTATATCGCCTAAACATGCGCTTATACTTTGTTGGGCTGTCATACCATGTTGGGGTAGCAAGAATTGCACGCTCCAACCAGTATGGATCCTCATCTTTAGTAGCTGAAAGACTTCGGAAGTACCTCACCCAGTCATCTATCAAACGTCTCAGACGAATACTCTTTCGGCCAGTAAAGAGAAATCTGATGATGTCTTTTGCAAAGGTAGTGATCTCCTCACCTTCAATAATCAACATATACTGAAAAAGAGGCAATATTCACCAGATCATTGATCCATGATGAAGCACGAAACTTAAAGTAACTCTTTCACGAGTCTGAAGAGCATAATATTCACATATGCAACTGAATTTAATATTAAAAGAGTAAAAATTCTACGTTCATACCGAACATAAGCTGGGTCTTTTTTCAAATAGTGCCCCTATCAGAATTATCAAGCTGAAAATCAACAACTTACGTTGTACATTAGATTTTTCATGCTCAGCTAACGCAAAATATTATAATTATAAACAAGTAGCAACGGTCATCTTTTCTTTTACATTGTTTTTGGTTGCAAAAGATGTAAACAGACATATCAATTATTACTAGTATTTTTCAATATTTTACAAAAGAGGTAGGATTATTACAGCTTTCCTGCGACAAACACTTGGAAAATATTTAGGAGCTTGACTGGATGAGGTAAATTGAGTACCCACAGTACTATCAGAAATAACAATATCCTCCTTCACTATGTCTACCCTTTGTAATTCTTACTCCACCTAGCTCCAACATGTTCGTCTTTAAATTTGAGAGGTATCTTTTTGTGACTGGGCTTCTTGGGTGTCTGTGTTGGGGTGTGTGTGGGTGTGTGTATGTGCGCGCGCGTGCGCGTGTGTGTGTGTGAGAGAGAGAGAGAGAGAGTGTGTGTGTGTGTGTGTGTACCAGAAATACAAAGCCAATGGCTGCGAAGATCACTTGGAGTAATTCATCCAATATTCCTGAAAGACTTTCATCCTCTGATTCACCATTGCCCCCACTGCCACCACTACCACCACCAGGACCACTTCCGCCACTGCCTCCATCATCAATATATTCTTGCTTCTGCATCTGCTGACGTAGTACATCCTCAGCAGACTGTTCCTTCCCAAAATTTCTCATGGCTTTCTCTAAAGCTTTCCATGCAGAACCCTGCTTCCAATTGGTAGCTATTGGGTTTAAACATGCTTCAAATGTTTCTTCTTAAATGCTATTTTCAATCCAGAAGAAAGCAAAGCATATAAGAGCAGAAAATGTATGGGCAGGTCAGTTAACAATTCATCATAGACAAGTGGGCATGGGCACCGGCACAGAGAGAGAGAGAGAGCCAAAATGCTTACTGTTTGGAAAGCTTGAAAAATAAGTCAAGAAAACACAACCAGCTAGAGACACCATTACAAGAATCTGTCAACTCTTCACATGCAGGTTGTGGAAAGTCCACGTAAAAGCATTAGGCTCCATTTTGAGCATTCACTTGGTCATGCCAAATTAAACTTTGTTGTTAACCCATTAGCATACTGAACATGCAACAATTTAGTAAATCCAACAGTTTTGTTTGCGAATATTGCTCATAGTAGCAGGCATAAGAAGGAAAATGGAATTTAATACCCCATGTGAATTCAATGAACTAATTGTTTACAACCAAGTTGTGCAGTTTATTAGATTATGTAATAAAAACATTCTGCTCAAGTTTTCAATTTGGTTACAAATGAAGAAGGCACAAGTAGGGCAGATGCTCAGTAAACTTGTAGGAACAAGGAAGTTGTAAGCCACTCAGACTGCACAGCTATTGGGCCCAAGATAAGTAGATTAACGACAGGCAAAGTATTAGCCTAAGCACATAATAGCCACAAAGAGATTCCTAATTCCCTTTCTTTCTTTATCAAACAAGTTATTTCTCTAAGTCACAGAAACCTACTAAATTCACAAACCAATTATCAGAAGTTTAAGAAAACCTTTACCTCATCAGCATTCTCAGATTTCCCTTTGCCACCAAATAAGCAGACAGGTGTAGATATTTGAACGCCAGAAGCACCAATACTTAGCTTTTTGGCAATCTTAGGAAGCCTTGCACCAAGGTAACTTGAAGAGTTTGAGTTGAAAGTTGTCGAAGTCTTATGAGGTTGAACACTCTGTAATGCTGGTGTCGCACACTGCACTGAGGATGCAGAACGTAGATGACATACACTAGTGAAGTTGCAGCAGTGCTGGTGCACAGTGATCTGAAGGCAGCTCATTATAGACTGCATGAAGCTCAAAAAGCTTTGAGATTCTCCATATCCAATACAACTGCAAATTAAACAACCATGAGGAAAATAGTCATTAATCTATACAACATTATACAAGAGAGATTAGTCCCAAGATTGAAAATATGGGGAGTTCGGGCAAAGGGCAGACACAAGAATATTTGAGAACAAAAACAAGGCATAACTTTTTTTAATCCTTTCAACACCGTCAGCTTAAGGTTTTACACTAACAGATGTGGATGCCTGACACATATTTTCTTTTGCAATTTGGCATGCATTCCAAACCTGCTCGTGTAAAAGAAAAGATTAATCAAACATTTGATAGAACACCTTCCGAGTCTGCTCCATATGACCCACACAAAAGTGAAGTAAAATCTCTACCATATAAGGATGACATGCATCTCAATTGTGTCAAGGTCAAGATTTCCAGTATATTGTTCATAATGCCGACGAAATCAAGCAGTATATTTTCAAAATCCAGTGAAAATGCAACAAGATAACCTAGTAGTAGACAAAATTATAATTCAACATAATGATTTCCCGATTGCAGAGCTCAATAACAAGTATATCGACTTAAAGCTTGCAAAAAGAATTAATTATTTCGAAGCACCGGTGACATATATATACAGGCATATTCAAGAAAACGGAAAAAATTTAACCTTTACCTCAAGTGGAGTCCTATTGATGATTTCAGAGAGGCCGATTACGTTTTCTTGCGGTGGAGCTGTCGGAAGGGAGGTGCTGGGAGAAACGGTGGTGGAAGCTTAGACAAAAGTGACGACCACGATGGGTTCAGTGATAGCGAAGGGCTTTACTCTAGTCTCTAAGGCGCCTGTTTCTGAAAATGGATAATTTCATTTTCCTCCCCTGATGCATATATAATATCAATTGTATCCCTAATATCTTTTATTTATTATTATTATTTTTTTTTTTTTTGGCAAAGAGTATCCCTAAAGAGTTGTAAACGAACCGAATCGAACCGAGTATCTCATGTTTGAGCTCTGTTCGTTAAGCAGTTCGAACAACGTTCGTGTTCGTTCGTTAATTTTCGAACTCCAAACCTGTGTTCGTGTTCGGTTCGTTAAGTAAAATTCGTGTTCGAATTCGAGTTCGAGTTCGGCTCGTTTAACATAAACGAGCCGTTCGCGAACATGTTCGAAATGTTCGAATCCAATTTATTTTATGCCTTAAACATGCCATGCAAATTATTAATCATTCTCAAAAATAATTAAAGCACTAAGTGACTAAATTATATTATTCATTAACTATATAACTAACATTAACATAAAAACAACAAATAAAACAAAGAAATTTGCCCTCCAAATATAAAAGTCCAGCCATAAAATTAATCCTAAAATTTGTCAAATGATAATTATGTCTATGTTCGCGAACGTTCGTTAAAACTCGCGAACATGTTCGTGTTCGCGAACGTTTGTTTAGCATG